ATAAGGATATGGTTCACAAAAAATGGTAATTCACATGACAAAGAACACATTCGTGAGAAGAAACGTTATAATCTGATGGCGGCTAAACATGATGGGAACGTTTAGATTAGTTATTTAGAAGGAAAATAATTGTTGAGATAAGGATTAAAGTGCGAATTAGGTTTGAGAATGTGAAAAGAAATCTTTAGTATAATTATTTGATTTGGCTATGTGATAAATATTGAATTGAAATTAATTTCGAGAAGTTTCGAGTTTGTTCTCGACACTCGCAAGGGAGGAGAGAAAATATTCTAAAGGAATGATTTGGGGTCTATAAGATAAAACATTGTGATGCTCAGAACTTTCTAAACCTTGATTATGGGTAGACAAGTTTGAATTAAGTGTAGGGAAGTGGTGGTGGGTGTTTCTCTGTTCCTAGATTTTCTAATACATATGAACCTTAAAATTGAGATAACAAACTGAAATTTCCATCTGAGAATAATTAGCACAATTAACAACGCGAAGACAATTATTACAAATATAATCAATCGCTAATGCCAAGTGAGATTCGAAAGTTCTCTTTGTATGGTCTCGGTAGCTTTGCCCAGTATATCCTGCAATTGGTTCGCGAACTCTTCGATGATTTCCTGCCAAAGAGATTCGGTGGTTCATGTTTCGGATATCAGTTGAATTGATTCATGTTTGCGAGCTAGTATTTCCAGTTCTGCTTTTATCCTTTCATTTTCGAATTTGTTGATTATTTCGGCTTCGAATTCGACGGTAGTTGATTCCATTTCTTTAGACTTACAAGGAGCGACCAATAATTTACCATTGATTCTTCTTGCAATGATGTCGTTTCGTTGTAATATCAGCTTCGCAGTCAGAGTTGGATTGTCGTGTGATACCACTCGACTAGCAATAATAAATAAATTGTTCCGATTTTGGCAGCTTCTTTGATTGAGAATGTTGAGCTCATTATTAATCTGCAGTTGTATACTGTCGAATATGTACTGATATTTCACATTTTCTGGATCAAAAGTTTCTTCGGGACTGATCTCTAGCATGAATAGCGGTGAATTTGTTCCCCGATTCGGAAATTTTGTTGTAGTCGCTTACGTTCCTTGATCCTCCTCAATGATAATTCCACTTTTCATTGGGGTTTGACGGGGTTTGACGAATCGGCAATTCGAAGTAATTAACTTCCGTGGTGTCCCGTTATATACAAGGGAGGTTTATAGCTTGTGGACGACGACATGGTTTTCGTATCTTTGAGCGTCATAAGTCCCAATTCTACGATAATTGCATTCTTTGGTTGGATCAGTCGCATTCCAGAGTACAATACCGATTCTCGTTGTACCATTCCCCTGCTTGTACTGAACAGTTTCCTGTATTTTCCAGATCGGATACCAGGCTTCTCCCTTCATCGACGAGTAGTCCACCCTTCATCAATATGAGGTTCGATGTGGATTGATATTTAACTCCTAGCCAACCGTAGGAGTATTGCATTTCGTTATTCGTGGTCCATTTATTCGGAAAGGGTTGTACCAGGGGAACGCCGTTAACTTCTATTCGAGAGTGTAGCTCTCCACAATGATACGCATCCATTGCGGAAGTTGTCGTCAAGTCCGTAACTACTGATAATGATATTCTGAGGAATGCTTTAGTGCACACCGTTCGACTGAGTTGTGGCTTTTAATAACAGGTATTCCCACATGAACATGCGTACACACTGTAATTCGAATTGGTGTAGCGTTATGAGTTTCAATTGCTTCGCAATTCCATTTCTCAGGCATGTAATACCTGATTCCAGTTGCATTCCTTCGTTTCTGCTGCTTGTAGAATTATCAATATTGCTACTGCTAACAGTAAGTTTGTTAAAACGAAATTTGATTTACTCCTTTTTTGTAAGTTTGTTTGGCTTCGTGTTCGATGAGCAATAGATTGATCATCGTCACTTTCACTCGGAATCTTCGTATTACTTATTGTGTTCCGGTTTTGGATAACGTTTTGCGCTCTCTGGTGTAATCAGATTCCTTTCTGATATTCTACTTAACCAAGTTAATTTTCCTTTGGATAATTTTTTGTGAAATTTTAATATTCTTATTGTTGTTCTTATTCGTCCATTTACTGAATCGATTTACCTCTACGAGATTGACTCATCTTGTTTCTTCGGTGTTTGTTGTTGCTACCATATTCTCATCTTCATCGTTGTCCTCTTCTTGTGAAACGTTGGTAGCGCTGGCGCAAACTATTTGTGAGGAAAATGGTGAATTGGGAGAAGTCTTCTTTGTATAACCAGATTCAGCCAGGATCGGGCCTACTTTAGTGTGGAGCAGTATAAATCCCGATTTCAGATTCTCTGCTTTGTCGAAATTGATAAATTGAAAGAAGTCGTTGACTCATATGAGTATATCCGGTTGTTTCCATTCACTGTGGATTAATTGTTGGGCTTCCTTTGAGGGATCGTATATCGCTTTCATATAAGTTGGCTACTTGTAGTTTGTTTGTTGGATAGTCCATGATATTCGCTTCGAGCAACATTGTACGATCTCTTCCGATTTCTACTCCTATTTCAGTTCTGGTTGTGGTGGATTTCTCGGTAATGGCGGTTGTTAAGGCTGAAGTCTCACTGGGATTGTATCGTGGTCTTGGCGTTTCTTTTGTTGAAAATTGGTTCTTCTCATTCCCTCTATAATACAGGGATTGGCTTTGTGCTACTTCTTCGTTTACTGATGTAAACTCCGTGAGGAAATTTCGCAGTTTGGTAACGGACCACGATTCCTGCCTCCTCTTTTTGTAAATCTGTTCTAAAATCTAGGTTGGTAATTTGCTTTCTATAACAATCTCGACACTGGATTGTTCTAAATCCTCACCGATAGCCTCCAATTGTCGGAGTGTTCGCTCCAAGGCCTTAAGTGTTACTTTCCATTCTTTGTGGTTCCTTTTGATGGAGTACAATTCATTGAATAGAGCGCTTTTGATGCGTGAGGCTGCCCGAATCTTTCGACGAGAACATTTCTTATGATGCTGTAGTTCTCCGGAGTTACATCGTAACCCCTGATGGCTTGGAGTGCGTCTCCTTTGAGACATGCGATGAGATAGTTCAATTTATGGATATCGGGAATCGCTTGTTGATCTATGGCTGTATCAAAGCTGTTCCAAAACTCTCTCCAACGTCTTGGATTTCCACTGAATGTGGGTAATGGCAATTATGGGAGATTTACTGCAGGGTATTTAACCGCTTTTGTGGATTCTTTGGATTGAACTGTTTCTTCCCTTACGTTCAAGCGTTGCAATATGAATTCCGAGTCGCTTTGATACATTTTTAAGCTAACTACCGTTTGTTTTGCTTGGAAAATTAAATCAATAATACCTGTTCCATCGTCGTTCATTTGAAGGTATCGGTCTTCTTCTTTCCTCTTGGTTGATACTGAGATTTGCTGGATGAATTGTTTCCACTCTGTATTCACTGCTTCCAATGCTTCTATATAAATTTGGATATGCATGATTTTTTCTGAAACAATCCGTATTCATCAGGAGCGGAACATTTTCATAAACATTAAAGATTAAATGTTTTAACTTTTGTTTTTCCCCCTCCCTCTCTCTCTCTCCCTCTATTTGTCTATCTATCTACAAATGTGCATAACTTTAAGGTCATCATTTTTCTTTTCTCTTGACTTATTTTAATAACTGTTTAAAAATAATGTATTCAACATCTTAATGAGATCGACTTGCTGTTCTTATTTCACACCACATTTTACTATTTGTTCAATAAGTCGTCATTGATCATTTTTCAAAATTAAAAGGAATTAAATATTAAAAGAAGAAACAGATTTTGTAATTTGAAATAAATGGATTAATTATTGTAAGTTCTCTAAGGATATATCATTTTTAGATTTCTTTTTTTTTAAATGCAAAAAGAATGAAGTAAAAGAAAAAAGTCTAAATACTCCTATTTGTTACTAAATTCATAAAGAGGAAAATTTGCTTTTTATTTGGTTTGGAACAATTTCCTATATCATATTTTTTGCAATTAACTGCTACTTTAATATAGCAATTATTGTTATTGCTTTGCAGTATTTCAATTAGTCACTTCCAATTAATTCTAATAATTTTGTCACTGTTTCGGTGTATTTTTTTAAGTCGAAAAAATATGCAAATTTTTGTCTTGATGAAAATATTTATTCCATTGTTCATTACAATATGTTTTTTTTTGCAGACGTTTTCAATTGTATTTGGACATATGAAACGACGTTTTCATTTGGCGCATAAATATTTTCAATATATGTATGATACTTTGAATTGATATGATAATAATTCATATTATTCATATAGTGAAACATTTAAAATATGATTTAAATAACTTTAGTATTTATATCAAATATTAAGGAGTTAAGCAAATTTGAATTTAAAATCTTAACAATTTATCGAATAATACTGATTTATTCGAATGTTTTATTTGAATCAAGTGAAAAATGATTGAAATTACATGCATTTAATTGTAACAAACTATTCATTATTAGACTTCTGCTTTGTTGAACTTGTTGAAGATTTGTTTTACATTGTTAAGATAAATGACATTTCGTTTCATAATTGCTCTGATTTGATTACTTGGCTATCGAAGGATACGTTATTGAATGTTTCATATTAATTACTGAAGTCATCTTAATTATTTATTTCAGAGATTTGCGTACTGTTATTGCAATATCGACGATGAATGTGTCCAAAATGAAGATATACATTTTGTAAATTTTACAATTTTAAAATTTGAAAATTAATGATGAATGAATGAAGTTGTAGCATTGAAAGACCACGTTGAATGTGGTCTTATTTTATTTATGGCTACAAGTAATTATCGTCAAAATTACTTGGGCAATTCATGTGATGAAGATAAATCATTAACCAATCACTGATATTATAAGCCTTTTCAACGAGAGTCTTTAATGAAATATTGTATCAGTTGAATAGTAATTACATAAGTTCTGGAGGATATGACGTGGAAAAGTAATAAAAGACATGAGAATCTGTTATACAAAGTTTAGTCATACGTTTACCTGATTGATTGTTGCCGTAATCCTACGTTTAAATGATGAACGTAAAATAGACGAGAAAAATGAAAAATGAGTATTTATGAAAGAATTTTGTCATATTCTTATGAGAAAAAGGTGATAAAAAAATTGGAGCAAAGTTAACCGATAAGCGATAATTTCAAGATAGCAATTCGATTATGAGTTTTGGCATTAAAAAATGAAAAAATCATAACTTGTTATAATTATAATCGTATGCCTTCGAACATTAAAGCAATAAATCATAATTTAATTTTATTCACAATACATTATTATTTTTTTATGAATATTTTATAACAATTTGAAACGATAATTGCTTAATGAACTTTATTGCAATCACTTATCATATCACAAAATGGGAATTTTCCTTTATTGTTCGATACAATTGTTCTAATGAACAAATCACAGTAATCCGATTAACTTTGAAGGAGTTGTTTGCTAACTTTATATTTTTTGTCTCAATCTTTTGCTATCCACTTGTTATCCCTAAATGTTCTCACACAATATCAGCAATTAAGCTATATGGTCGAGCCTCATCATTCTGATAATAATTGCTATTATGTAATGTGAAAAAGAAAAAAGGATTAATGGCGGATTTATTTTAATAAAATTCTCATCACGTCAGATTATAAGCAAAAAATGTTTTACCAAGTAAAAAAACTGTGTTTAAACAATGATTATTTTTTGTCAGATTCCATTTAATTTCTAAACTGCAAGACAACATTTCTATTTAATGCAAAGTGCTTATTATATTATACAAATTATGTTTGGAAAAATAAAACAAATACTCCTTAGTCCTTCTTTGAAAAAAAATATTTCTTTGTTTTGATTAAAATTTTAAAAAATCTGAAAATTCTTGTTTTCAATGAATGAATCAATGCACTTTAACTGGTCAAATATCACCAATACCTGAAGTTATTTTATTTTAAAATGCATGTCATTGGAAATCAATTCGAAGGATAGCACTATGCGCCAAAATGATGATTAATAACGAACATAAAAATGTTTTCCACAGTTTTTTCCTCTTCTTTTGTTTAGGTAATATTTTAACATAAAAATTTTGATTGTAATATGCTATGATGGAATCACTTATTTTAAAGTGAAAATATTTGCAAATAAATGCAAAATAAATTATGGCTATTGAAGAGGGAAGAAAAATTATTAATAAATAAATAATAAACAGTCAAATTAAAAGAAGAAAATAAAAAGAAAATTGTGGACAAACAAATTAGGTAGGATAGCTGGAAAATGATTAAGGAAACCGCTTACTGCGAAATTTAAATAACAAATAAACTGTGAAGTTTTAAAATCTTTGAAAAAAAGTGCAGTATATTTACTAGTCAATACACAGTGATTCATATTATCTGACAGTTTGACCAGTGGATAGAATAAAACAACTTGAGCAATAAATGGAATAAAATTGCTTGACCAAAGGATGGAATTAAACTGACCAGTGGATAGAATAAATCTTCCATCCACTGGTCATACAATCTTATGGCTGACATTTAAAGAGCTCACTTCTTGGGAATTGAAATGTAACGCATATCATTTTTGCATAGCAAATGAGTAATAAATTTAAATGTCAGCTAATCGAAACTACTATCGAATAAGAAAACTGTAAAATGGCAAATTATATGACACTTGCAATGCTTTATGTTCAACTGAATTTGAATACAACAAATAGCTATAATGATATTAAATTAAATTGATAAATTTATTCATTTATATCATATGAAAATTCTTGAAAAACCATTAATTTATGCCAGATGAATAGTTTTTTCTTTTCTTATAAACGATTTTGAAAAATAAAATTGTAGTCACAAAAATTTTTAAAATTATTTTAACATGTTTGTTTATTGTTATTATTCTAATATTTCTCTTTTTTTTCATAAGTCAAATTTTTACATACGAAATGTAAACTTTTCCATATTGTAATTATTAACTAGATTAAATATTTGAATTTAAAAAAAATATAATTTGTTAACATTTTAACACCCATATTGTCAAATATCACTTGAAACTGAATGAAATTAATTGATGAATTATTTATGTTTTCCAATCCATAATTTATAATCAATTAAATATTTGAACCATTTCTAAGCTATTAATGTTCCTACTCAACTGAAGTTGAATTTTTAACGGTACACAACAAACTGATTTAAAGCTTTCGGTACATTGTAAGTTATCGGTGTAATAATCGGGAAGTTCTTTCAATTACAAAAAATAATTCTACAATGCATATTTTTTGTTTCAATTTTTAACAATGTGATACATAAAATATCTGTATTATTCTGAGATTTAATGAATTTTCTATTTGCACAAATTGAGTTGTCGAGTTTTCGATCATTGTAATTAATATCAATTATTGTAATTCTATCATACGAACTATTTCATCTCATCTTGTACTTTGATTAATGATAGAATTGAAATATGTAAAGATTAGGATTGACTTTTCAAAACAAAATCTTCTTTATTTCAAGCGTTACTTTAATTAGTTTTATAAATATTGTTTAAATGGAATATTTTGTTTGTATGTTTCAATGGCGTTAACAAATTCTTGCATGAAAGATTTCTTCCAGTAATTTTTTCCCCACACTCTACTTTTTTTTCAATTTAGCAAAAGTTATTCCTGTGTATATTTTAAACTTGCATATATTACACTCATTGATGCAGATTTGAAATGTAAAAAAAATTCAGAGGAAATTCACGTAATCATCCCTCAACTGAAATTTTCTTTGTTTCATTCATTTTAATGATTAAATTGAATGATTGATATTGATTCGCCCTTCATTTTAGTTATTTGTTTCAATTTCCGTTGTTATCATTTTTTTCGAAATAGTTTTTAATTTGTCTTTACTATTTCATTTTTTGATTTTTTTGAAAATTTGACTGATTTTAATAAAACGATTGTTTTGATTGATCGGTTCGCTGATGCATAAATAATATATCACTTGTAAATGAATCATCTGATAATTTGAAGTTTTCTGATATGAAAGATAAAAATTCCCTTCTTTTCTTCATCCGTTTTTTTATCTCTTCGAAAGATCGGTTGATTCACCGAAAGAATCGATGCTTAATGGAGTCACTCTCGGATCGGTTATACATCAAAGGATCTATCAGTTTGCTTGTTGAAAACAGTTGTTCCTGGCATGTCCATCTGCTCCGATGTTTTCATTCATCTGTCGCAATATTTTGACGGGTCGAAGTTTCCATCTTAACACAAACTTTTTTTTCCTTCATTTCGTGACATCTCAAGAGATGAACTGGGAAAACATTTAAATTGATTTCATTTCAAATTTTGCGTGAATGAATTGGAAAATGATTTATAATTGAAAAGAAAAATAGGAAAAATGATCAAAATAAATTTCAATTTTGAAGAATTCTAATAAGCGCTTTTTGTCATGTAACTGTTAAATTTCTTGTTTAAAATTAAGTCAAGA